ACTTGAACTAATGCGAGAAAAAGATAAACATTGTAAGTCTGTAGCCAGTCTGAAGACATGTCACATACCGCACAAAATAGTAGAGAATAACTCAGTTCGCCGCGGATGCGAATTGTCCATGATCTCGCAAAACTAGAGAAAGAAAAAGAAAAGTGAATGATATTATCTACATCTACGCGTAGACTTATTTTTGATGGATTCCCTAAGAAGTTATTTTTATTATTTATTATAATAAAGTGATTGTAAACTTAAATATATATATGCGAAGAAGATTCATTTCAATCAGTAGGGAACAGAACAAAAAATATTTTCTGTTTAGACATTAGTTTTACATTCAAAATGAAAATAACAAATAAAATACAAAACATTAGTTGTTTCGGAGTTATATAATTCACATTCATTTTGAAATATTTAAATAAATAAAATATTTTTGTTTTTCATTACAATATTCAACATTTTCAATCTTAAATGGTATACCAGCTGGTAAAAGAACTTCTTCTTCAAATAGATAATGTGAATACTTTGATATATCCATACCAGTACGATATTTAATATAATAATTATTTTGCATATCAATTATAAACAATGTATTACCAAATTGTTCAGCTTTTTCACGATTACGACTTGTTGATGTAAATCCTAACCATTTACGATATGAACCAACTTCTGTTTTATATAATTCAATTTCGTCTAACGTTTGATTTGATCCTCGATAAACAACACCACGAAAATATCTGCTGTTATACTGATGACTACCATGTTGAATATAAAAGTTCAGAATAAAACAAAATGGTCCTAATGTTTTAACTTTTGTCATATCCTGTTCTCTTAATGCTCTATTCATTGATTTATAAAGAAAACTTTCTAAAGTATATACTTTTAAAAACGATGGATTACACCTCCACATAAAATCATCTAAACGTTCTCCAGGGGCGTACCTTGTTCTTCTCAATTCTGCTGCCATTCCTTCTGCGTCAACCACCTGATCTAGTATTTTCCCCTCTTCTACAATACCTGTTGCTGCCGCCTCAAATATACTAGCTGCATCCGGTTTATTAAATGAAAAACGCCATTGATCAATAAAATCTGATCCATCATAATTATTTTCATTAAATGGTTTTACTGGCGTAGCTGGAAAAAAGAATCTTTCTTCTCTAAGAGTAACAATTGCTTGATAATCATCAATTATTGTACGTTTTATTGGTCGCTGTTTGTGTTTATCGTTACAATAAATTTGTTGAAAATTTTTCAAATCGATTATATAATCACCGATTATTACCTGATTTTGTTTTTTCTGATATGCATTTTCAATCATTAATGATTGAACATCTGAATATGATTTCCAATCGGATTCTCCTGTAGTCGTTGACTGGGGATCATTATTTGAATTCCAACACCATCGTGCAATATTTGACGTTGTTGCCTCGGATGCCATGCTCTCTTATAATGATATAAAACGCAAAAATTTCTTGTTTTAAAGGTAGAGCATACATAATATTTTTCAGTTTCTGGACGAGAGAACAAAATTTCAATGAAATGATGAAATGTATGAAATGTTGAAATGTATGAAATGATGAAAAGCTCAGTTTCTTATACTTTACACAGATACCTTTTACCTTACACCATACACGGATATTCTGACAGCTCTGATCTTGTAATAAGGTCTTACGATATGATCATACAAGATCTTATTATAAGATAATATACGATCTTATGGAATCTTGTAACTTCTTGTTATAAGATCCCCCAAGATCTGGTTATGAGAAGTGACAAGGTCTTGTAAGACCT